CTAAAAACATGCACAATAGGTACATTATGAATTTAAATGAGAGAGTGAATGGATGGTGTTGGAGCTGATGGTCCAGTGTGTTCTGGACTCGCTTCTGTCATCACCGTGTGTGGAATGATTGGAACAATATCTGAACTCTGAACATTGTAAAGCGCTTTGGGTGACCTTGGTCTGTAAAATGCGCTATATAAATAAACATTACTTACACCCACACAGACACGGAGAGAATCATACAAGCGCCACACAGATAAAAAACACAAAAATAAAGATGTTCCCTCTTCTGAAACAAACCTGGAGTGGCTTTTGGCTCCTTCGATGGCAACATCAGGAACTGGCATAAACACATTGTTTGTATCCAAATACTTTGTTTTCAAATTCACAAAGACCTCATTATACATTATACATAGCTTAACTTCCAAGCATTTTTAAAGGCAGATATGTTATTCAAAATCAAAGTAAAAAAAACATGAAATTAAATGAACTCAAAATATGAACCCAAAGAATTCAACAATACGACAACTGCAGATAAGAGAGAGCAGGAAAATGCAGGGCTTGGTCAGACAGCTTGCATGACTCTATAGCAGCTCTATACAGTGTTTGTGTCAGTATATCAGTTTCACTTTAAACAACCCCTCCTATTGGAACATAACATCCAGCATGCCATAAGCAGCACCTAAATCTTCCAAACAAATGTCGACAATTCCAACAACACGCTGGGCCAGGCCTATCTAGCAAGTGATGTCTGCTGTGTGGTCAAATACCGGTGACATTAGCCCTGCTTGAGTTCTTGTTTTCCAGAGTAAACTTGTGCATAATTCACATCGCAGGTCGCCATTTGTGTTTCCATGTGTTGGGCCACATCACATGGTTCACTTTTGGCAGTGCCCAGTCCATGTTGACTCACCAGGCTGCACCTCGCCAGCTATTCATACCTTCCTCCAGCCCTCTTTCTATCCCCCCCTGATCACTAACCAAGCCAGCAGCCCAGATGGGGAATTCATGGCTGGACCAAAACTATATATAGCCTTCTACTGACTCCCACTGGTGAGATTTTCATAGTCTAATATTTACCTAATGTCTGCTTTGTTTACAACAGTAAGAGTAAAACATATAAAAAGCACATAATGGGACTAGCTGCATTTAGCTCATGAGCCCAGGGTAAGAACATTAGACTCTATGTTTATGATTATGTGAAAATACTGTTCAGAGACCAGAGTTTGACTGTTATCTTTCACGACTGTTGCATAACGGTGTATGATATGGAAATAACTATAAACCCAGGACAAGAAATCCACACAAACCCCCAGAGAGTATGTCACATAATCAGTTTTGGATAGAGACTGTAGTTATTTGCTCTGTGGGTGTGCTGTAGGCAAACAATACATTACAAACAGTATACAGTTAACATATTTTACGCAAAAAAAGGGAGCAAAGGATCATAGATTGTAATTTAAATTATTTGCTTCCTTCTAAGATCACATTGAGCACCAGTGACTACCATGAATGGATTAATTTCAAACATGCTTTACTTTAGTCAATCTTTAGCAGAGAAGCTCTCCTGTCTTGCTCTAGACCGACAGACAGTCCACTGGGATCACTGCATAAGGCCGTCATGATGAGACTGATGCAGACAGCAGGTTTGTATGGAGGGCCCATGGGGACAATCTGAGGAGCTGTGAGGGGGCAGCGAGGCTAAATCTGGGCTTGGGCCCCAAACTGAGGTCCCTGTCGGGAACACAATCTGCCGACCATCTGCAGGCGCTCCGGTTCTGTTTGATATTCAAACAAACACCTGTCAGAAGTCCATGTCTCATCCCAGCTCTCTACGCTTTGGAAATTGGCAAAACCCTGAACTTGTGTCTCACCAGAAACTAGAGGGAAGAGGAGCAAATGTGGCTTTTTATTCCGACCATCTGTGCTCTAGCTAAATATAGATTTCAATGGAAGGCTCTGAATTCTATTTTCCAATATAGTGTCAAAGAATAATACAACACACCACGATGATCCGTGCATCAATCTGAACAGGCTCCCAAAGTTTGTTTCTAAATTATGTTAGCAGCAAGTGTATCTCACTGAGAAGTTTCTTTCTGCAAATAATCCACAGCAATGGGCTCTCTCTCACACAAGTTGCTGGTTAGCTAATGAGCATTTTGAAACTCGACACATACAGTGCAAACACATCTGTATACTTACTGCATCTGTAGATGGGGCAATGTCCTCTCAGGTGGTTGCTTCAGGTTTAATTTGTTTTTGTGCTAACACATTTTGGCACCACTCACTGGACTGGTGCAGCTGCTGATAGGAGGCCAAGAGCTGTCAACAGCTATAGAGGCTGAGACACAATCATGGACCTCTGAAATTGACAACGATTAGACAGCAGCATTCATGTGTTGTGTACACAGCACTCAAAGATGCTTTACATTGGAGCTGCAGTTACCCAGTTTGCACTTTATTGTCCCAGCTATCCCACTGGGACATCAAGTATTCCATCTCACCTGCTGCCCATTTACTACTATTTTTACGTTACCTCCACAACAATTTTTAGAAACATGACTCCGCGTATTATTTTGACATTGATCTATTTGCTCATCTCAAAGCAAGAAAAGGGCCCCTGACACCCTTGCTGGATTACCTTGGTGACGTCATGGCTTAGTTTGGACCTGGGCACCAACCCTTTGCCATCTTTGCGTTAATGGATAGTGATCTTGAATTCGACAAACTGATCGACACGATTGTGGGGTTTTACCTTTTATCTAAGGTCAAGACTCAAGTCTTTTAAACACTTATTTCTTCATGTCTGGACCACTGTAACTCTGGGATTTCACAAATTCCACTTTCACGCTTACAATGAATCCAAAACTTGGCACAGCTTTTAGTGGGAATCAAAAATCATGATCACAGTACTCTGCATCTTTGCACAGTTTTCCAATGTTAGCCTTTATTTTACGTTTTTATCATACACTCACCAGCCACTTTATTGGGTACACCTATCCAACTCCACGTTAATGCAATTTCCTGATCAGCCAATCACATGGCCACAACTAAATGCATTTTCAATTTACTTTTGAATGTGCTGGAAAACGGCTGCAAGTCCTAACTACCTCTGAAACAGTTGTTGTTTTGTGCTTCTGAATTTTTATTTTTATTGCTTTTTTCTACCTGAGATACTGGTACAGTACAGTGTTTATGGTTTTACACTGGTCCAGACCAGAGCGGAGAGGATTCATGGTCCGAACCAAGCGGATCAGGAGAAAATCCACTGGAGGAATGCTAACTTTTTGAAAAATGCTAATGAAGCATTTAGCATTTTACTTTGGAGCAGAGAAAATGGTCCGAACCAAGCAGCTACTCCACCTTGTGACCCGTCCTGCTCCACCTAGAGGCTACTGCATCTCTGCTACTGTGATCTGAAGGGCTGTTGCTGATTATTACTTTTTGTAACTTTTTTAGAATGATCAATTTCCTTTTTTAGCTTTGCGGTTACTGGACACCTGAATTTCTCCTACGTGAATCAATAAAGTATCTATCTATATATCTATCTATTTAGACGTGTAGACATGGTCAAGACAATCTGCTGCAGTTCAAACCGAGCATCAGAATGGGGAAGAAAGGTGATTTAAGTGACTTTGAACGTGGCCCTGTTGTTGGTGCCAGACGTGTCAGGAATGAACCAGACAGAGACGGATCGTGGTGCGCCAAATCTCACAACGGTCTGGTCTGAGTATTTCAGAAACTTCAGAAACTTCTGATCTACTGAAATTTTCACACACAGCAATCTCCAGGATTTACAGAGAATGGTCCGAAAAAGAGAAAATATCCAGTGAGCTGCAGTTTGGTGGGCGAAAATGCTGTGTTGATGCCAGAGGTCAGAGGCGAATGGCCAGACTATATTGAGCTGATAGAAAGGCAACAGTAACTCAAATAACCACTTGTTACAACCAAGGTCTGTAAGAGCCTCTCTGACAGAACACGTCAAACCTTGAGGCAGATGAGCTACAGCAGCAGAAGACCACACCGGGTGCCAGTCCTGTCAGCTAAAAGCAGGAAACTGAGGCTACAATTCGCACTGGCTCAGCGAAATTGGACAATATAAGATTGGAAAAAGTTGCCTGGTCTGATGAGTCTCGATTTCTGCTGCGTCATTCGGATGGTAGGGTCAGAATTTGGAGTCAACAACATGAAAGACTGGATCCATCCTGCCTTGTAACAACGGTTCAGGCTGGTGGTGGGGGTGGAATGGTGTGGGGGATATTTTCTTGGCACTTCTAGAGTGTCTTTGTACCAATTGAGCATTGTTGCAACGCCACAGCCCACCTGAGTATTGTTGCTAAACCATTTCCATACCTTTATGACCAGCATAATAAAACACCTTGTTAAAAGCTCAAATCATCACAGACCGGTTTCTTGAACATGACAATAACTGTAGACTGCACTGTAATGGCCTCCACAGTCACAGATCTCAATCCAAAAGAGCAACTTTGGGATGTGGTGGAACAGAAGATTCACAGAACAAGAGTTTCTGCAGAAACTGCATGTTGCTATCAAATATGGACCAAACTCTCTGAGGAATTTGCCCCCCCCACACACACACACTTTTATTCAATATCTTTCAATACCATACAGTATATATACAGTATTATGGTGTATTTTACATGTGTTCTTTATGTTTGTCCGGAATTATTAGACCGATTTTTATTACAACTGCAAAAAGGAGTAGCTCTCTGCCTTTTCGTTTGTATAAAAGTAGCTCTCCGATTGAAAAAGTTTGGAGACCCCGATCTAGGCAATGTGGTTGAAGTGTCTTTCCCAAGGACACAACAACAGTTTGGCACTTTACAGCCACAGCCGCCCCACTGTGAAACCTGGTGTTTCGATCTCCCATCACAGTACTTACTGTACCAGGCCCTGCCCTACACAGCTTCAGAGGTCTGACGGGATCTGGCTTCTGCGTGCAAGTACGGCCACTTAAGGGTAGACATGATAAAAACTTGCTGCTTTTTTCACCCTGACATGTTCTTTCTTACTGTACACTGGAAATACTGGGACCACATTTGTCTGCGCTCCAGTCGTCCCATCTGCCCGGCCGCTGTACCCCTCTCCTCGGGTCCTGCTTCAGTCGTCATAGGCCGTCCCTGGGGCCAACACGCGAGCCGAGGTGATGGACTGGTGCAGAGATCTCCAGTGTGAGTGACTAATGGCGCAAACTCATCTCTGAGGGCATGGACCAATACATTTACCCAGTGCCATTCATCACAGCGCTGTCAGGCCACTGCAGTCGCCTGACGTAGAGCACACGCTGACTTTAAGTGACGCTGACACCAAGAAAAATCGCTTTCACTGTAACCGTGACGTTGAGAAGTAATAGGAAAGTATGCTTGGCTTTTTGGCATTAGAGAAGAGTCACAACATCATCAATTAAAACTGGGGTACCTGAAAAACACTTCCATAAATAATAAGTTTTGTTCGTCCCAAAGGAAAAAAATATGATTAATTGAAGTTTTGGTGAACAAATCAGACTACAAAATAGTTTTTCATCTTGTAAGAAAACATATTTTAGAGCCCTGTGAGTCACTATTTGAAGCTGATTTGCTGACTAAGGGTGGTCCTCTCTTTTTGCACACTTTTGTCTAGAAAAAGGCTGATCTAAAGATGTGGTAGAAGCCGAAAAAACATGTGAAACTGTTTAGAACAGTCTCTTCAAATGCAATGCTTTTGTAAATGGATCTCTGAATGCAACAGTCATACTATAAGTAAAGCTTTATACAATAATTATGTGTATATATGTGTGTATCCATATTTTCAAGGTAATTCACTTTCCCATATAACTTTTCTCTTGAATAGTTTTAATGGCCTTTTCTTTGCGCTTGCCTTAACACTCTTCAGTATGTAATCTCGATACTCCACGTTTGACTGTAGGGATAACCTTGAGAAAGTTGCTTACACATTCAAATACATCATAAAAGCCAATAGCACATAAAGCTACATCTTTTATTCATAGAAGAAAAGTCTATTCAAGTTTGTCAGTGAGCTGAGAAATGTGATGGGCAGGTACAGTGCGTTCCCGTCCCTCTCCGGTGTACATAGGAGAGCCTTGGTAAGTTGGAGGAACAATGGAGCAGAAAGTAGAACAGTGGGCACATAGAAAAGTCTTTAACAGGCTTACAGATAGGAAAATGGGAAAGGAGCCCTGTTAAAGGACTTACAGTATCACACAGCATTTTCTTGTTTGAGGTTTTAAGATTCAAGAAGATTTTTTTGTTTGTCCAGAAGTAAAAACTGCTTAAATTCAGCGGGTAGTCTCGTCTGATCTGAGGTCGTAGTCAGATGAGGAGCGACAGTAGCTCAGTTGGTCGTAGGTTCAAATCCACCACGAGACCTACTCCACTACTCCCACTGATGACTGCTGTCGTTGTGTCCTTGGGCAAGACACTTAAACCCACTTTGCCCAAAAGCCCCCGCTGGAAGATCTAGGCTCCTGTGGACTCACCACCTGCAGGAGGATCAGTGAGGGGCTGGTGCTATGTGTACTGGGTGCAGCTCTGACTGTCACCCCCCGACCCAGAAATGGATTAAGGGGAAGAAATTGGATGGATTGAGAAGTGAAGTTGTTTTAGACTCTGAGGCAGACAAAAAAACATGCTACAACATTGTTCCCTCATCAAAAACAGACTTTGGGATTATTTTTACCTTCATCTACACTAGTATCATCCGTCTAAAAGCTCTGTATTCAAACTGTGTATGCTTTGACAAATTATATGAACATGGACTTCCTATTTGAATATAATGACTGCCTCCAAATCATACGTTTTGGGAATTTCTCCAGTTAAATTAAGTTTGTTACAACATGCTTTCATATAACAACTATATTTTATTATGCTTAAATACTTATCCTGTACTGTTTATTTAATCAATGATTTCACAAGATCATAATTAAGGGCCAGCATGAACACAAATGTTGCATATAATTTAAGTGAACCGATATCCCTTTATTTGACCAGGATTGTCCTAAAATTTCAGAATGTCTTTTTCAGGGGAGTCCTGGTTCGAGGGCGGCGGAGCTTATCGTACATATTTTTCGTGGGAAGGGAAACTGGAGCACCAGCAGGTAATTTCATCAGACATGGGGAGAACATACAAGCTCCACTCAGAAAGACCCCATGTCATCTGGAAGTCCAACCTGGCATCTTTTTGCTGAAGGGAAAGAGCTCGATGTGGCACTATGGTTATATGAATTGTTTTTTTTATCCAATGTGGTTAAACTGCATGCTTTTGGTACTGGCTTTTGAAAGTCTTGTTATTCCATAGGACAAGATGGCCAGAGAAGCCTGTGCAGCTCTGTCATAGGCATATAATAAGGTGTCATGGCACTATTTAAAACCATAGGAATGATTATTTTTACATACCAATAATCATGTATTTTGAGACACGATCCAGAACTACTTGCCATCAATTGTCATTCTCTGCAACTTGTCCTGTCATAAGTTCTTATCGTGTTGGATAAGTTCAGCAGTTTCTCCCTGTCCTTGTTGTTGGTGTCAAGACAGTGTCTGCACCTACTTCTCATGCATTGTATTCTCAGGCAGAAGTAGAAGGCATAATGAAGCAGAGAAACGTCTGATATGTTTAGACCACAACCGAGACAGCTGGGAGTTTTGTGTAAAGATGTCCTGACTAGTGGGGGGTAGAGAGACAGGCAGCGAAAGGTAAAAAGAAACAAGGAACTGACAATTAGGGAGCAACTAATCAGCCAGTGTGTAGCCAAGCGCATCCCCCCCATACCAGTGCCAATGCTTGCACTGTGCTTGAACCTGTACTGAATGCCAACGGCAGATAATTATAAACCCACGGGGCAGGCCTCTTGTGTAGAGAGGGAGGGATGGAGCCCCAGCCAGCTCTGAACTCCTGACCCCCTTCACACACCGAGCGTCTGTTGTGGGCTTTGGGAGGTGCAAGATGGGTCACAGAGTAGAGCGAAAGCCGAGGGAGGAGGGGGCTCATAGCAGGGGGCTAGAAAGAGGGAGAAGGGGGAGGGGCTTGAGAGGGTGTCACTGTGTGGGCATTCTATTATCAGCCAATCGTGACGCAGAAGGAGCCACTTGACATATCTTAGTGAAAGCCACCACCAGAGCTTTTGTTATAATGGCGGTTATCTTTTCTTTATCAGCTCTCAAAGGTGGGGAAATGAAGGTGCTTAGGTCCATTGTGTCCAAAGAGAGATTGTCTGTGGCTGATCGTCTAAAGGTTTGTGAACTATAGCCTGAATAAATGGAACTCTGATACAGAACTGGACAAACACAGGCCAAATATATATTAAGGAATGTCTTTGAGTACACTTTATCTAATCAATACCTCTGTCATGCACATTTTAATACATTGTTTACATTTGTCACATTCCTGTTCATATCTGTTTCATATCGCTAATGCTGAATCTTGAAATGATGTACATTACATTACTGATAAGAAAACTTTTTATAGCTAAAATGTTGATATTGCAGCAAACAACATTGAAATGCTTGATGTTGCAGAGGGCTCTTAATACAGGACACACTTGTAACCCCCTGCAATCCCCTTTATGAAAATCTGCCATAAGTTTCTAATTGAAAGCGTTCAAATGGCACTTGAAGAAGCCTACATTTAAATTATAACAATACATTATTTTCAGTCTTTTTTCTAATCAATCAAACACTTTCAATCTTGTTTTGAAACTCCTGGTCCTCGTTCTGTAGCTTAGGTCCTGGATCTATAGCACGTCCGTCTGTGTGGAGCAGATCCCTCTCTCAAAGTGGATCTCCCCGAGGTTTCTCACTATTCTCTCCCACTGGGTTTTAGAGTTTTTCCTCTGATGCAGGAGTGTGTTGGATAGAAGTGTCTAACAAGAAGGACTGTGGTGATGACCCAGGACACTTTAACATTCTACAACATGTATCAGAATCCTTATATGTGAGTAACAGGAAGTCACAAACTAGGCAATTGCTTTCGCTCTCGGTGCAAACAAGTTAAAGCAGAATAAAAACAAGAAGACATGCAAAATAAAAAATCTACACCCATTACTTTCACTATATATGGACATTTATCAACATTCATGGACATTGGTCTCTCCTTATGTGTATTTTCTGTGTCATAAATGTTGATTCTCTGATCTGTGTTGGTGATTTCAATAGTTTTGTTAAAGTTTTTTTTTCTCTCAGTTTTCTTTTGAAAATGTATACATATTTACTTAAAGTATTTTTTATAATAATAATAATAATAATCTTTATTTGTATAGCACTTATTCAAAACAATGTTTACAAAGCGCTGCACAGTCAGCATAATAAAAAATAATAACATAATGCAAAGTCAAAATAATTAGATACCTAGAGATACAAACACAAGAAGGGAGACACAACAAAGACAAAGCAGACATTAAAATAAAGCATGTGAAGTTTAAAACTAACAGTTAAAAGCTGTTTTATAAAAGTGGGTTTTAAGAAGTGATTTAAAAGAGGATACTGGTGGTGCTAGCCTTATCTCCTCGGGCAGGTGGTTCCAAAGCCGAGGAGCCCGGACAGAGAAGGCTCGGTCACCTTTTGTCCGGAGCCTCGACCTTGGAACAGTCACAGGGACCTGCCCGAGGATCTAAGGCTGCGGGGGGGCTCGTAGGAGGTTAAAAGTTCATAAATATAGCTTGGTGCCAGACCTAAACGAGCTTTAAAAGTAATCAGTAAAATCTTAAAATCAATTCTAAAACGCAAAGGGAGCCAGTGGAGGGACGCTAACCCAGGGGTGATGTGCTCCCTTCTGTTAAAACCAGTGAGACTGTTATCACTCACCTGTATATACTGTATGTTATTTGGAGAGGGTAGATGAAGGTGTAGTGGCGAAACAGAATTACTCTTACTTTTTATTTTCAAGTAAGACGTGTGCAGAATTCAATTATTCTGCAACAGGCGTTTAATGCACCCGAGTAACTGCTACACTAAATTCCATTTCATGAATCAAAAATTAACTATAAGCCATAATCATCCAAATATATTGATGTGACATATCGTGTGACGTAATATTGTACAATTTAATGCCTGAATTTCCTGATTTCATTCTGCCTGAAAAAAAACCTGAATAAAACTTCCAGGTTACTTTGGGTGTGCATATTTTTGGCAACTGAAATGAAGAAACAAATGAACTCTTGGAGAATATTTACATTTTCCGAGCTGATGTGAGTTTTAACGATCTGTTTTCTATGAGTGGATTTTGTATGATCATAGTATAACACCTCATTCCATTCTTGGCTTCTCGTGGTTGGATATCTGTTGCACCTGTTACTTTGATCTTCCCCTATGCAGAAAAAAGTACTCTGAGCAGAAATATGATCTATTGCACTCATCTCTGGACCACTCTGCCCTATTTAAAACACACAGGTAAAGACATTACTGGCACCGGCATGAGAAAAAAAAACTCCCAAAGCGATCTTGTCTCTGAAGTCAGTAGCGTCTGCGGACCACCTCTGCTCATCTGGCTCGCTGCGCTCTCATCACGAAGATCTCTCTCGCTTTGCACTTCGCCAATTTCCCATGATTGAACGTAATGGGGACCAGATAACCTCCTCCTCCGCTTCTCCCACTCGGCTCTTTGATCACTCCTGACCTGGCTCCGACTCAACTCTGACACACTGGCAACCGTTCCCTGAGTGCTTTGTGATTGCTGGCAGACAGACGGCAGAGATATATGAAGCATCGGCGTGCAAGTCTTGCTATTCCCCAGTCCAACATTACGAGTTCATTTTCTGGGATAGAGCTGGGAAGCACTGTGCCCACGCTGAAACCGAGATGTAGCTGTTATTTATGTTTACACAGGTTTGATGAGTGATTGTCTGGACAGAATAGAACAAGATGTGCACAAAGATTCCCAAATTCGATTCAGGAGATTTGTAAATCCAGTGCAAATTACTCCTGCCCGTTCCTTTTTGGGGCCGCCATACTTTTCTTTGAAAGTGGTCTTGTGAGCCAATCATTCCCAGATGCTGAATATTACATGTAATGGCTTCCATTTGCCGGCTCCTTTACTCTCGCTGCTGAGGTGACACGCTGTCTCCCTTTGACATGTCCTCACAATGGACAATTACCCAGTGCTCATCAATCACTGTTGCAAAGGCCTTTGACAAAGTAAATCTGGCACAAATCATTCTCTTTGAAAACTCAGGAAGGTCCGTTGCACGACTTAGTTTGGGACAATCGCCTACATTGAACGAAAGCTGAAAGTTTTCTTTGAGATATATTTTGAGTTCACATGAAATTTGGTGACATGTCAATGGTCCAGCCCTTTTTTGCATCTGCTCAAAAGCTCCTTTTTGAAACTTGTTACTCGATGACATCAGGGACAGAGCCTCTTTCTCCAATCATATTACAATCATCAGTTGCATTACATTAGGATTTTATTTACTTTATTTACAATACAATACAATTTATTCTTATATAGACCTAAATCACAACAGAAGTCATCTCAGAGACTTAACAAAACCATTGAATTCACCAACACAGATCAGAGAATCAACAGTTAAAACACATAAAGAACATAGAACACATGTTGATGAATGTCCATACATGTTGTAAAATGTTAAAGTGTCCTGGATCGATCACCACCACAGTCCTTCTAGTTGGACACTAACTGCCCAACAGACCCTCCTGCATCGGCAAGGAAAAACTAATAAGAAAACCCAGTGGGAAAAAGTGAGAAACCTCGGCGAGATCCATAGTTTGAGAAAGGGATCCGCTCCTACACGGACTGACGGGCTATAGATCCAGGACCTAAGCTACAGAACGTGGACCAGCGGACATTGAACGTGGACAGGTTCGGTACAGGACTGAAGTACTCCCAGGTGGGTCGGGCGGGGCAGTCCGCAGGTGTAGATGGAGGAGGCCAGGTCCAGAGGTTCCGTCGTCGTACCATTCTTATTTATATAGCGCATTTTTACAAACCAAGGTCACCCAAAGCGCTTTACAATGTTCACAGTTCATATTTTGTTCCATTCACTCCACACCCGGTGATGACAGAGGCAAGATGCCAAACAAACTGGAGCATCAAAGCCTCCCACCAACACCATCCATTCACTGCACAACCGGGATTTGAACCTAGGACCTTTCTAATGAGAAGCGAGAGTGCTATCCACTCAGCCACAGTGCCGCCCACCTTCCATGTTTGATCATTCAGATCAAAATCTAGTGACATTTAGTCGTACAATGTTCAATTTCTTCCACTAGTTGTGAGGCTGCACATATCAGTTATGCCTTACTCCGTATTCATATTTATACATGTGAAGTTGCCATGGTAATCAATAATCATCAACTTTGCATGTAATAAGTCTATAACACACAATGGTTTATTATTTCAAGTATAAAATATATGAGCTCTTGAACTTCTTTTTGTCTGGCATTTATTGTGTAATCAAGTGAAACTCCTTGTGTGATTATACATTAAATGTCAGACAAAATATTTTCAGGACAATATTTTCTAGATTTGTTCTTTCACATTTTCTCCTCATCATTCTGTTTTTTTCTCCCAAAGTTTCAGGGTCAGTTATTTAAAAGTAACACTTGCAAATGTTCCATTGATTTGCCAGCAAGGCAGAGGTGCCATTTGTCAATACCAGTATTCCTCCTTCCGCTTGCAGACTGGGGCAAGGTCAGTAGTCCAATTAAAGAGCTGAAGCTGTAATTGCGGCTTCACTAAGTTGTACACAATGTTCGGACTCATTATTGGAGAACAGTCAGGGGCTGCATGCATTTGGAAACACTGGTTGTTTGTATAGGGGAGCATGTGTACATTTATTCAATTGTTCAGCTGTAACTATGAATTAGACCAGACAAGATGCACTAACCTCGGATTTGCTCAGACAGCTCTCCTCAGCAGTGATGGAATGTTGCTACACACTTTCTCTAAGCCCTGTTGGAAAATGCAATATGTCGGAACCTTATCAAGCAGTTTCTTCTATTCTTTGGCAAGATCTCCCTTGTGTCTGTTCTTTT